GGGGGCAGTTCTCCCATCATAAACCATCAAACCGGACTGAACTGGAATCCATGGTCCAAAACACCTTTAATCAGGATCTGATTTAAAGCTGCAGGAAGCGTTTACAGGATGAAACGTTTTCTGCTCTGTGCCCAAATTTATACGACTATTTGAATATTTTATTATAAACTTTCTTTAAATCCTATAAACTTCATATGACTTCTCAAACATCACCGTCTTCATCTACTTTATTATATATAAAACTGAAATATTATATATAAAACTGAAACAGCTGATCTAAAAACCAAGGAAACAATAAAGATGATGAGGGGTGTGCAAACTTTTTCACACCACCGTGAGTGACAGCCAGCGGAAACAGGTGCGTCATTGTGTGATGTTTTATCTACCGCTGGGTGGCGGTACTGAGCGCTTCTGTTGGCCACCAGCCGCCATTAAACCGGCAGAAGAAGAAGAAGAAGCGGAGCTGAAGGACCGACTGCCTCTAAAGAGAGAAGCCGTGACCCGCAGCGGGATGTTCGGGCCGAACCGGTACCTGAGTGACGGCCGCCGGTGAGCAGCAGCGCGGCGTGGAGCCCTGAAGGCAAGTCTCGCGAGAATGGCAGGCTAACAAGCTAACGGGTTTAGCAGAACCTGCGGGTCCAGATTAGCCCCTGATCAGCGCTGACGGAACCAGACCGTTCAGAACCGGTCAACTGGACCGGGTTTAAAGATAACCGGCCCAGTTCGGAGACCACGTGATCCGGGTCAGAACCAGACCCAGTTCTTCAGAAATATTCATGATTATTTATCCTGTTTTTATAGAAATCAGAGGATCAACTTCAGCTTTTTACTGCAGTAAAAGCTTTAAAAACTACTGAAAGTAAACTAGCCGGTCCCCGGTTCGATTCCCACAGCCTGTATTATAGAATGTGTTTTATCTTCCATATTATATCAGGTGAAGTTTAATAAAGTAGAAATACCTGGCAGACCAGAGGAGACCTAGAGATCCTCCCCACAAGATCCACCTTTGGACAAACCATTCTATCAGTCAGGGGGGGTCACTTCTGGAACAGCCTCCCATCAAACATCAGGGAATGTCCCACTTATTGCACATTTAAAAAGCACCATTCTTAAAAGCTCCCAGTCATGCACTCACTATTGTTATTGTTGTGACGTCATCGTCTGAACGTGTGTCTGTGTGTTTTCACTAATCTGTTTTATGTGATCTTGTGTTGTTTTGTCTTCCTGCCTCAGATGTAAGTTAGCAACTATGCTATAATCTGGCTCATTTACAATCTGTACAGAAGTTTAAGATTGTTCATTAATGTGCTCTGTTCTGATTAAAGAAATAAAATTAAATATATAACAGCAGTGGTGGAAATATGACCAGCCTGGACTCCATGTCAGAGTTTTAACATTTATGACATTTAAATTCTGTGACTTTGCACTCATCCGTCTGTCACGTGTAGCAGCAGATGATATAAACCGTCCCAAACTGTTCTCTGTAGAGATCACTGCTAACGGGACCAGCCATCGCTGCCATGTTGGAACAAAGGTGCGTTTTGATCAGCTTCAGCAAAATTATCTCTGGGATTCACAGTCTACCTGGACTGGATCCTTCCAAGGACCCGGTCTACCTGGACTGGATCCTTCCAAGGACCCGGTCTACCTGGACTGGATCCTTCC